CTCCCTGACCTGTCTCAGTTTCCGAATCCTTGTTTGCCAAATGCAGGGATTTCTAATAACGGAACGCGAATTCTTCTCCTTCCTCCTTCCTAAAGCTGACCACGTTTACCGTGCCGTCGTGTGTTAGAAGCCAGACCTGGCGGACGTGGACCGTGAAGCTCCCCGTGATCTTGTCCTGAAGTCACCGTGTCTGGGAGCCCGGGAGCCCGGGAGCCCCTGCCCTGAGAGTCTCCTCGGGGCGCCACTCCCCTGTTGTGTGCTTCCGGCATTCAGGGGAGGCGTCTGGCGGCTCCTTCAGGACCCAGAGGGGAGGTCCCAGTGCATGTCTGCAGAAGGCTGGATGATGTAGGAGCACTTCGCACAGACATGCTCTCCAGTGGTCCCGTTCTAGAGGGTTAAACATTCTGTCTCCCCAGGCCTGCGTAGACCGTATTTCCAAAGTTAAAGAATGGGGGGTGCTTAGAGTATAACTTCGTTAACCGGCTCTCGTTAAACAAAGCTTCGTGTCAGTGACTACCGAGGGCCAAGGATCCAATGTGGAGGAGTAGCAGACACCTGCTGCGTGCGTGCGCGGGTGTGTACGCGTGGGCATGTGCGTGCAGATGCCATGCACGTGACCCCACACATGCACACGCCTGTAAGCACGCACGCCGTCACACACATGCACACGGCTGCCTCCCTAGCATCACTGCAGAGCACTGCTTTCAAACTTCACCTTGCTCTTCCTGGAGAGGTTATTAAAACTGATTACCAGGCCCGCCCCCAGAGTGTCTGAGTCTGTAGGTTTGGGGTGGGGCTCGGAATTGGCTGTTCTAGCATGTTCCCAGGAGATGCTGTTGCTGCTGCTGACCCGGGGACCCTGCTGAGAACAGTGCTTAAGAGAATCCTCACCGTTACTGAATTAACCCCTCCAGATACTTCCTGCAGACTGGGAATCAGTTCAGGGGGAACACGGCCTCTGCGACCTGTGGTTAGGACTTGGAATTGGGTTCCTATTGCAAATGCATGACCTCTGCCTTCCCTGGGCCTGTCTCTCCGGGCCCGCGGCCACGTGGCCTCTGACCGACTCTCCCGCGGCTGCTCTGAGGCCCGCCGTCTCTGCGAGGCCCCTCCAAGTGTACAAGGTTATAGTGATCGCACAGGTGCTGTCCCCTGTGTCCTCAGACCACGCACTTCCCGGCATCCTGCCCTCAAGCTCACGCCGTTTTCTGCCCTATTCCAGAGGCTGAGTCCATGCAAGGACGTTCCATGTCCGCTGTTAGTCCTTCAGTTCCAGAATCTCCGTTTGGTTCCTTTTTTTGTTTACATTTCTTGGCTCTGTTGGAAAGCGGGCCTCTGTGTGCCCTCTCCCTGGCTGGGTGGCGTGTGGTCTTCTCTGGGGGTCTGCGGGGAATCTGGGAGGGCCTGGCTGCTGTCCAGGCATGTAAGTTCAGATGTTGCAGCAGGTCCGTTTAGAGAGACTGGTTACTTACACCGACTTTCTGTAACTGTGTATCAGCCGTGCTCGTGACTTTCTGTAACTGTGTATCAGCCGTGCTCGTGTTGCAACGTGTGATCCGTGTACCAGTGCGTTGACCACACTCAACTCCACTCGCCACCCCCAGGGCGTTCACATCTGGCGTGCGTGTCCCCGCACCCCAGGTCTCTGCGAGGCCCCCCTGCCCGGGCGCTCAGAGCTGGGGTGCGGCGGCCGCCGGGTGTGGCCTCCCTCCATGCCGCCCCGGGGCTCCGGGCACGGGCCTCACACCCGCAGGCCGGCCTTGTGGCGTCTGTCCCTCAGCGGCCTGCTTGCCAGGTTCCGGAGGCTTCCGTGTTGCTTCCCCTCTGTGTTGGGTCTGACAGGAAACGGGCGTCAGGAGCTGCCTGTGCCCAGCCACCGCCTTCCTGAGGACTTGGGGCCTGGCTTCTTGGTTGCGTGATGTCCCGACCGAGTCTGTGGCGTGGGCGGCGTTCCACGTTCCAGGGGACGTCTTCTCCACGTTGGCCCAGGGGGTTCTGTCCGAGTCCTGGGCAAGCCCACGTTCGTCCCATGCGAGGGCAGAGCTTCCCGTCACCTGTGTTCACGCTGTGGCTCAGCTAGCCCGTCTGTGCCCCTGAACCGGACCCATTTCCCACGGGGGACTCGGCCTCCGGAGACGCCCGCCCTCCTCTTGGGGACGTGGTTTTGGCGTCTCCGCGGCCGATCCGCCACCGCATCCTTACTGTGGATTCAGATCAGCTTCTTTGGATTTAAGAGCCACAGGCTGGTGCAGGGGGCCGCGTTCCCAGAGAGCGTCCTGGTGGTTCTGGGGACCGGGAGAGCACGCGGGGTGAGGGCCTGGTCCGCTGCCCAGGACAGGTGGGGACCGACGCCTGGGGCCTCCGCCACCCTGGACCCTGACCCAGAGCCAGGAAGCGGATGGCCCAAAGTTCCAGATTTCGTTTGCTCGCTCCTAAGTCAACACAATTCATTTTAGTGACTTAAATACTTTCTGAAAAGCCTTTTATCGCACCATAAACTAGAACTGATTGTTCAAATCATTTACGACGCTTGAGTTGGCTCAAAACGATCAGATTCCTAAAAAGCTTATGAACATCAGGAGAGGTCGGTGAGGGTCGGGAGGGAAGCGTCACTCCTGACATAGACCAAGTGTTGCTCCGGGAGCCCTTTCTTGGTTTCCCGGGGCTGCCCGCGCAGAGCCCCACGCACCGAGCTCCAGCAGAAGTCCGTCAGCTCGCAGGTCTGGGCGGCAGTCCCACGGTCGAGGATCCGGTCCTTCCAGAGCGCTGGGAGAGAATCACTCCACCTCCCATACTCCCTGCCTTGGCTGGCCTGCGGCCGGATCTCCCCATGTGCCTGACTCCGGATGTCCCCCCTTTGAGGACCCCAGTCCTGCTGGAGTAGGGCCATCCTCATGCTGTGGTGATCTTGTTTTAACTAGGCGTCTCTGTAGAGACTCGTTCCAAATCCACTCAGTGGCACTGAGTCGGACTTCATGGGAATGGGGGCCCCCAGTTGCTCCCATAGTAACCCCGGGACTCCGTATTATGAGGGTTGAGCCTGCGAGCAGGGAATCTTTTTTTTTTTTTAATTTTAATTTTTTTAAAATTTCTTTTCAGTGTTCCAGAATTCATTGTTTATGCACCACACCCAGTGCTCCATGCAATCTGTGCCCTCCTTAGTACCCACCACCAGGCTCACCCATCCCCCACCCCCTTCCCTCTAAAGCCCTCAGTTTGTTTCTCAGAGTCCACTGTCCCTCGTGGTTCACCTCCCCTCCCATTTCCCCCAACTCCCTTCTCCTCTCCTTCTCCCCATGTCCTCCGTGTTATTCCTTATGCTCCACAGTAAGTGAGACCATATGATAATTGTCTGTCTCTGCTTGACTTATTTCACTCAGCATAATCTCCTCCAGTCCCGTCCATGTTGCTACAAAAGTTGGGTGTTCATCCTTTCTGATGGAGGCATCATACTCCATAGTGTATATGGACCACATCTTCCTTAGCCATTCGTCCGTTGAAGGGCATCTTGGCTTTCACCACAGTTTGGTGACTGTGGCCATTGCTGCTATGAACATTGGGGTACAGATGGCCCTTATTTTCACTACATCCGTATCTTTGGGGTAAATACCCAGTAGTGCAATGGCAGGGTCATAGGGAAGCTCTAGTTTTAATTTCTTGAGGAATCTCCACGCTGTTCTCCAAAGAGGCTGCACCAACTTGCATTCCCACCAACAGTGTAAGAGGGTTCCCCTTTCTCCACATCCTCTCCAACACATGTTGTTTCCCATCTTGCTAATTTTGGCCATTCTAAGTGGTGTAAGGTGGTATCTCAATGTGGTTTTAATTTGAATCTCCCTGATGGCTAGTGATGATGAACATTTTTTCACGTGTCTGTTAACCGTTTGTATGTCTTCATTGGAGAAGTGTCTGTTCATGTCTTCTGCCCATTTTTTTACGTGATTATCTGTTTTGTGTGCGTTGAGTTTGAGGAGTTCTTTATAGATCCTGGATATCAGCCCTTTGTTCGTAGTGTCATTTGTGAGTATCTTCTCCCATTCCGTGGGCTGCCTCTTTGTTTTGTTGGCTATTTCCTTTGAGCAGGGAATCTTAAGTTTTCTAAGACTCTTTGATAAAGAAAGTGGTCTTTATGTACTTTTCTGTGACTTTCATAAATACTGCATTTATAGATTAACTTAAAATGATAGATTTCAATTAAATTTACAGCTTTTATGTTTCTTACTTTAATTGATAGATTTTAGTTCAGGGAGTAAAAATGGACACGTGCACATCTTCTGCCCCCGAGCTTGTGGTCCCGGAGCCTGGCCTCGTACCTGTTCCGTGGAGGGGCCCCTCCACCAGCTGCTTCCCTCATGCCGCCAGCAGCCGCGGGCAGCCCTGTCTCTCCATGGACATGGCCTCGTGCTCTGGTCTCCCCTGGGCTGCCCAGGTCGTCCCTCTGTCCGCGAGAAACCAGTAGCTGTGCTCCAGCACACATGTAACCATCCACAAGAACCGTGTGGAAGTACGGAGTTTGGACTCACACGCTGGGTGCGTGGATCTTCCTGGGTCACCATGAGCTCTGAACTCATTGAGAAAACATTGCAAGCAGTTCACTGCTGGACCCCCGAATTCCAGCTCGAGAGACTGTGGAGAGGCTGTGGAAGCCTTTTCGCTCTCCCACAGCCGGGGCCATACACGCGGGTCGACACTGGGTTTGCGGGGGGAGGGCTCTCTGACCCTCAGGGTCGGCAGAAGATGGGTGTGTGGTTTGAGGAGGTTTTTATTTGCTGTCGTCCCAGCACACTCCTGTGACGTGATCTCGCCGCTCTGTCATCCAGATGAAGGCTCACTCTCCGTTGGCCTCCATGAAGCCACGACTGGTCCAGGAACTGGGCTGCAGGGTTCCATTCCTTAAGTGGCTCAGCGTCGTGCTGGAACTCAGTGAGATGACACAGCACCGGTGACGCCTCCATATTTCTCTGCATAAATGCATTTCTTGTTTGTGTTTTCTCCCCTAGGGATCTGCGCTTTAACAGAATCAGGGAGATCCAGCCTGGGGCGTTCAGAAAGCTGAGAAACTTGAACACGTTGTAAGTCTGAACATCACATCCTGTTGGGACCCAGCAGGAAGCAAGTATAGACATCGTGACACCTCTCACCTGGGGTCAGCCCCGGTTATCCGTAGTCAGGGGCATGAACGGGGGCGTGGACATGGGTCCCTAGAACAGAAAGTGTGCATTGAGTTGTGAGGCCCGTGGAACCTGTGCTCGGCTGCTGTCTTATCTTGTCTGACATCGTGGACCCATGTGGGTCCCTCATAAGCAGGTGTGACCCAGACCCAGTGACTGCGTGCTCCTCTTGTCTTTCTGTGAGTGCCTCGGTCCCAGGCTGGGCCAGACCCTTCACCTTGGTACGAGGTCATAGGCCCCATTGCAGGGGGCAGGGGTCAGCGCTTCTCCTGGCTACGAGTGCCCGGGGGGGTGGGGGCACCATCCATTTGGGCACCCATGCTTAGTCTCAGGATGGACAGATGAAGGGGACAGGCCTGACGGGCACCCTGGCCCGCCGTCATATCCGGAGCCTGCCAGGATGATGGCGTCTCTGGCTCTTTGCTCCGGAGGGTGGCTATTGGCACGGGGGATAGGTAGGGCTCTGGGAGCGGGATCGGTTCCTTTGCCGTCCTGGGAGCCGGTGGGGGGAGTGGTCTGACCCTGGGGAGACCACCCTGCATGTCCATGCTGGCTTTCCGCTCAGCCGAGGTCGGCAGTCCGACGGACAGCAGGACAGAGAGACACTGCTTTGCATCGAAGAGGGCATTTGGTCAGTGTGTGTAGGGAGGGGCGTGGCGTGCAGTGATGGGGACACTGGTCCCCCGAGAAAGCGTGTCATCCCAGGGCGAGTGCTGGCGCACTCCCGTACGTGTGGGGTGCTCGGCCGGCGTCCGGGCCAGGCTCCGCACCTGAGTCGTCTCACGACCTTTCCCAAGTGGCCGGAGTGTGCCCCCCGTGCGGGTCCAGGGGGTCGGGCTCTCACTCAGACTCTCTCGCAGGCTTCTCAACAATAACCAGATCAAGAGCATCCCCAGCGGAGCGTTCCAGGACCTGGAGAATTTGAAGTATCTGTAAGTGAACCGTCCGTCCTTTGCCTTCACGCTCGCGCTTGTTCCCGACTGTGAGCCGACGTTTGTGCGGCTGCAAACTCCTGCGGGCACGGCCGTCTCTCTGGGTTTATCTCCACAGGCACCAAATGTTGGGCTGGGTTTTTTTTTTTTTTTTTTGAAGATTGTATTAATTTATTTGACAGACGGAGATCACAAGTAGGCAGAGAGGCAGGTGGAGAGAGAGGGGGAAGCAGGCTCCCTGCCAAGCAGAGAGCCCGATGCGGGGCTCGATCCCAGGACCCTGGGATCATGACCTGAGCCGAAGGCAGTGGCTTAACCCACTGAGCCACCCAGCGCCCCTGGGCTGGGGTTTTAAGTGCGAGTTTTGTCGGTGTGAAGCACACAGCTGTGTGGCGCTCGGGGTGTGTGCTCAGCCGTTAGGCACGTGGGTGTGAGGAGCGTGAGAGCCGGCCGGGAAGGCCGTGCGGTGGCAGGGGACTCTCGGCCCCGCACGACTCCAGGCGGCCTCTCCGGCTGTGGGCGAGGTGCGATGGTGTCCCTGGTCTGCTGATTTCCCTGTCGTCCTCCGACTGACGTCACCTCGTCCTATTTTTAGGTAGTAAAATTGCAGTTTGCCTTTTGAGACTGATTTTAGTTAATCTGCACATGAACATTGAAACATGAGTTTGGCAGATTAGAAGATGACCTTGCAAGCACGTGCTGGGCTCCCAGCGCTCCGGGCACTTGCTGCAAGACGGGAAGCGTCAGGACACACATTCCAGTACATTCCTGCTGTGGATAAAAGTGCGTGTCGTGGGCTTTGAGCAAGTTACTCTTTCTTTTAAGACTTCGATGAGCTTTTAGGGAGAACCATTTTAAAACATTTTTTTTTTTTAAAGATTTTATTTATTTGTCAGAGAGAGAGAGGGAGAGAGAGCGAGCACAGGCAGACAGAATGGCAGGCAGAGGCAGAGGGAGAAGCAGGCTCCCCGCCGAGCAAGGAGCCCGATGCGGGACTCGATCCCAGGACGCTGGGATCATGACCCGAGCCGAAGGCAGCTGCCTAACCAACTGAGCCACCCAGGCGTCCCTAGGGAGAACCATTTTAATGAGGGCTTGAGATCAGGGACTTTTTTGGGAAATTTATGTCCTACACAAACGTGAATGTTTAGAAGTCACGTTGATTTTTAAAATAAAGTCACATTGTTAGTGTTGCCGTGTATTTTGCAAACTGTTTGCTTTCAGATGTCACTGGTTCTTAACCGCGTGTATAGAGATACGTAACCCTCCGTGAAGGAAGGCCATTGGAATTGTTAGGTATAAATACTTTTCCATTACTTTTGGCATAGTTTGTTAATCTTTACAGTAGAATAGAATAGAATTAGAATTAGAATAAAATAGAATAGCATATGAGAACTATTAAGCCTTGTTGCTCATTTTAAAAATGAGTGAAAGGCCTTTTATTCTTGAGTTTTTATTGATTTGATTTTTTTTATTTTTAAATTCTAAGCCCTGTACAAGCTCCAAAAGAAAGGTTTTGGTTTTGTAGAAAGTAGGTTCCGTGAGCTGAGAGCCAGCATCCCGTAGTGAGTAGTGTGTGTGTGTGTGTGTGTGTGTGTTTGTGTGTGTTACTTTTTTACTTTGCTTTTGGCTTAAATTAATTAAGAACAACTTATTATTTAACCTGCAAACATATTTAGTGTTAAATAGTTTGGAATACCTCATTTTCCACTTAAAATGATTTTTTTTTAAGTAATGCTTCATAAGCCTCTCCTGCCTTCCGCTCCCCTTTGAGGCCCTGTACCCCAGCCTCACCGCCACTATGTCCGTGATGCCCGCTGGTGGAAGGTGCCTGGTCCCTGAGGGGGGCTGGGCAGTGGTCAGCAGGATGGAGGGGTGGGGTGCTCGTGAGAAGGACCCCAGGAGCAGGGGCAAGAACGATCCCTTCGGAGCCTGGTCCTCAGCAGGAGATGGCACTGCCAGGAGCACCGTGGAGGACACTGTGCAACTCCAACGTTTGCGAGCTCCTCCAGAGCTTACTGGTTATTTCTGCTGTTATGATTAGTCTGTGCTCTTCGAAGTCGAGCGTGGGTTATCTGCTGGACCCCAGCGGCTTGTGGGACAGTGTCCGTCTTCCCTTCACTGACACTGCCGGAGGGTGTGGTTACGTCCTGGGAGGAGCCTCCCGTCCAGAGGGGACTCTGGCGTTGAGTGCTCTTCAGAACCCACTGTCAGAGGACGGTCCGTGCCCGTTATTCTTAGGAAGACAGAGGCTGGTCCCACGCCCTCGGAAACACATACCGCCCGTGTTAGTGGGACTCCGCTGTCGCGCAATCCCGTTGTCTTTAACGTGTGTGTAGACAGATACTGCCCTTAGGCGGTCGCCCCACTGTTCTAGAAGAATGAGCCCAGAAACCCCGCTGGGCCTTAAGAGAGCAGGGGCTCCCACCAGAGCGCAAGTTGTGGGGCCCGGCCATGTTCTTTCTGCTTTCCACATGCTTGCCGACTCCCGGTGATCCCAGCAGCTGCCCCCTGCGCGCACACCAGCGGAGACTGGGACAGAACCTAGACAGAACGTAGACAACCAGACTAGCTGGTGGCCGGCAGACGACTCCGTCCTATGGGGCCCGGCTCTGCGCCCGGCTCTGCTGCGGGCACCGGGTTCTGGACCGGCGGGGTCACCACCTGTTCGTGCAGAGGTTGTGGCTCTCCGTGGGGTCAGCTCAGCTGAGGAGCGCGAGGGAGAAGGGACAGCCGCTGAGTGGGGTGGTGGCGGTCAGAGACAGCGGAGCAGGGCCCGTGAGGCAGCCCGCCCCGAACACAAGGACAGACGGTGCCGCTGCGCACACTGTCTGGGACCAGAGTGTGCGGTCGCACGACGTTAAGACAGAGCAGGCCTGTTTGCCGGAGTGAGTGGGCGGGTGGACGCCCCGCTGGCCGGTGTCGCGGTGCCGGGAGGCACCTGCAGACGGCACGGAGGGGCCGGCGTGGGTCTGAGGTCATGGGTGGGGACGAAGCAGCACAGACACACGTCTCTGCCCCGGTGCAGAGGTCACGTCTGAGACGGCAGGATGCCATTGGCTTCCCGTGATCTACCACAGAGCTGGGTGTGTGCAGGACGGTACCGACCACGAGTCCCGTCCCCAGGCTCGCGGTACTCAGAAGCGCCTCACCTTGTGGCTTTGCCAGGAGTCGGCAGACTTTCTGGGACGTGGCAGCTCATCTCTGAGACTTTGTGGGCCGCTCGGGCTCTGCCATGGCGACTAGGCTCCGCCACGTGGCCCCGATCGGCCGTGGACTAAGTCGATGTGTCCGTGTTAGTCATGGACTCTGAAGTTCAGGTTCCCAATAACTTTCCTGTGTCGTGAACTGTTACTCTTTTTTCGAAATTTTCAACCGAATAAAAAGGCAGAAACCATTCTTCGCTTACAGACCGCGTAAAAACAGGCACGAGCTGGGTCTCTGATGCTTCCCACCCGCCCACCTTGCCTCTGTCCCCAGAGAAGGGGATTCTGCTGGGCAAAGACACGTCAGCTTCGTATTGGGACTTTCTGGAAGACGGGGTGGTGGGTGGACAGCCTCCTGTGGGGAGACTTCCCTTTGAGGAAGGGCCGGGAACCTCCGTGAGGGGAGCCACAGCGCCGTGTCGGGGTTTGGCCTGTATTCTAATACAGTCGTTAATTTGAAACTCCCCCCACATGTCAACGTAAGTCTTCCCTCCTCTGAGGTTGTGGCCTGTCATGTGCTAACGCTCCCGTTTCTTGTTTCAGCTATCTGTACAAGAATGAGATCCAGTCAATTGACAGGCAAGCATTTAAGGGACTTGCCTCTCTAGAGCAACTGTAAGTGTCCCCCCGCACGTGGCTGTCTGGGATGCCGCCCGCCCCTTGCCTCTTGTAGGGCAGATGAACTAAGTCTGCTGTTTGCACGATGCATGCCTGTACTAACGGGGGCGTAGGGAGTGCGTGCATGCGGCGGAAAGAGCGGTTCTGTCCGAGCCCCTGCCCCACCAGGGGAAGGCCCCGGTTTCTGCTGGTGGCGGCCCGAGCCGAGCGTCCCTGAGACCAGGCAGCTCCCGCCTCCATGGTGCTCCCCGTTCACAGCAGGGACGGACTTGCGAACCAGGGAAGGTCTTCGGGGAGGGTCTCTGGGCAGTGGGGGACGAGGAGGTTGCTTTCGTTGTACCCTGTTTCCTTTAGCGACTCTGCACTCGTCCGGCCTACTTTCTGCATTTATGTCATTATTCTGGAGAAAATGAGCTTTTTTCCTGTGTTTCTAGTCCGTGTGTGTTGGATGTTGTTTCTCTGGCGGCATCTGAAGTCAGCAGGTTGATTTCTGAGTAGAATTCCTGGTGAGAGCAGGCTTTTTCTGGTGGGTAGGGGCTGAGGTGGTTCCGCGGCATTTCAGACGGCCGCACGGTTACGGTTCCAGGGCTGGACGTGGCCGTCGGCTGAACGCGGCCCGACGTTCTTCCGCGGCGGCCGTCCACGCGTCTGCGTGGCTCCTCTGCTCCTCGGGCACAGGCCCGTCTCCGGAGACGCCGGGGCAGAGGCTCCCCCGAAACCAGGTGCCTCCCAAACACAGACAATGCGCGAGGGTCTTGGGGTCTTCATTCCGGTGCCAGCCGCCCTGCTGGGTTGCGAGCGCCGCGGCGGCAGAACGGGGAAGCCACTGTGCGTCGGGTCCGTGTGGTCTCCCCGCGGGGCAAGAGGGAACCGAAAGAGGCTGCGGCGGACGGAGAGTCTGAAGGACGCCGTCCGGACGCCTGAGGCGCCTCTCCTGGGGCCAGACGTCCTCGTAGCCGTCGCCCGGGAAGCCGTTGGACTGAAACAAGCCGGACTCAGGCGGCGCGCGCCCTGCCGAGGGGCGAGGAGGAAGGAGGCAGCGCCTGGGGAGAAGTGGGGCTCCGGCTCCGGGAGCGGGGCGTCCAACCGTCCTGGAGACGGCGGGTCCCGGGTCAGGAAGCCGCCACCGCCCCGGCTCAGGCAGCGAGGGTCTGTCCACTGACGCGGCTCCCTGCCGTGGATGTCAGCGAGTGTCTGACGGGACACGGACGCTCTCAGGACCGGGTCCCTGCCCGCAGATGAGGCTGTTCCTGTGGGTGTGCGCGCTGTCGTGGTCAGGGGCCTGGGTCCTGCCGTGACCGCCCCCATGCCGGGAGCCCCTCTCGCCCTCAGAGGCCAGCCCGAGGGTGCCGGGGGTCTGCGGAGCCTGGGCTCCTGGGAGGTCCTGCCCGTCCTGTGTGCTGAGCACATGTGACCAGAGTCAGGCAGCGTAGGTTGGGGTTGGCGCCCATGGCTGGCTTGGGGCTGTGGGAGGGCGGGGGCGTCCCGCCTGCCCAGAGCTGTGGCCTCAGCCCTGTCTCTGTGGGCCGTGGAGACAAGCTGCAGTGAATCAGGGCAAGGAGGTTCTCCCCCCTCCCTCCTCCCTCCCTGGACGCCTCCCAGCACCCCACCTGCCTGCTAACACGGGGGGCTTCTCCTTCAGGCTTCTCCTGTGACAGTGACTACATGTCCCCCGCTTCAGGCTCCCATACACCCTGCTCACGGGCTCCCCCCCCGGAGTGGAGGGCGACCGGCAGGGACATGTCTATGGGCTCTGCAGCCGCGTTTGCGACCTCCCAGACTTGGGGTCCCCGTGGCGCCCTCCCGGGAGCTGGGCCAGGGATACACTGACAGGAAGGAAGTGCAAGTGACCTTGGGTGACCTTGCAGTCCCAGTACTTTCAACATCAGTGATGGTCTCTGAGCATCCAGGGTGCGTTCTGAGAATGCTTTCTGCCTCGTGTCAGTTCATGATGAAACCCGTAACCGCTCGTGTCCGTCTGTCCCTGCTGTTCTGCTGGCCCGTGTGAGCGAGTGTGGGGGGCAGAGATCTCTCTTCTCCACATGTTGGGGGGCACTCGGGGCAGAAGCACCCTGTCGCACGGCCGCATCCAAGCCTATGTCCACTGTTTCACTTAGGGGGAAAAGCACCGATTTTCACGGTGAGAAAAGCCGTATTTAGGAAAGTGAGAAGAAATTAGTTGTACCGAGAAATGTGTAGATTGTGGAAAGCCAGGAGACACAGCAAAAGATGAGTAAATGCTGGATATTTGTGTAATTGAGCACATTTGAGGAAACGTGTGACTTTACGCTTCGTTGTTCCTGTGGTTAACTGTGTGCTCAGTCGGCGTAAGTCCCCACAGCCCGGAAATTCTCAGAGAGGTTAGGGATCGAAGGTGTTCGTACACGCACCGATGTGCCGTAGGGAGGCTACCTGAACTCTTCCTGCAAAGGCCCACATACCGCGCGGAGGTCACGGCCGCGCAGTCTGGCCCCGCGCGGGGGGCCTCGGTCAGGGTCACTGACAGCCATTCACTCCTACAGTCTGTGTCCAGTTTTTAATTGTATCTAATCTTACGATTTGATGATTTCACTTGTTTTCCACCTAATGTAGGAATCCAGAGTTACTGACATAAGAATTTGAAAGGACTTAGGAAACTTTTTTTGAGCAGGAAATCTAGATCTGCAAACAGTAAAACTGTTTAAAATCTGTTTCTTTCTTCTCTCTCTCTCTTTTTTATACTTGACTAGATATCTGCACTTTAATCAGATAGAAACTCTGGACCCAGAGTCCTTCCAACATTTGCCGAAGCTGGAAAGGCTGTAAGTTGCATTTCCTTCCATCCCCTGCATCCGCCCGCGGCCCTGGGCCGTCGCACTGTCCAGGTTCTGCAGGAGTGGGGAGGCCACTGTCTCAGAACTGGCCGTGCAGAGTCCCCGCTCCTTGTCTCTCAATTCAGAAGCAGGACTGACAAAGTCTCTTTCTTCGGGAAGACTGATAAAAATAGAAAAAACAAAACAAAACAAACCTGGTTCTTTTCTGGGCTAAATAATATTCTCAGGTTCATTTGCATGAAATAATGCAATCACTGAGTTACTTTTTAGAAGCTGAGTTTTTGGACCGTTCATATCTTTTCTACACATGTAAGAAGCATTTTAGATGTTGGTTTGTTGTATGTCTCTTTCGACAGATTTTTACATAACAACCGAATCACACATTTGGTCCCAGGAACCTTTGATCACTTGGAATCCATGAAGAGACTGTGAGTATGTGTTCAGCGCAGCCCCGTGTCCCCACGGCTTTGACCGGCCCCAAGCTGGGCTGCGGAGTGTGGGTTCCTCTCAGGAAAGGGCAGGAGGCCTTGCACCCTTGGAGCGGGTGCAGCCGGGGGGCCCGGCGACGTGGGGACCGTACCAGCAGATGGACCCTTTCATAGGCAAGCGAGACATTTCTAAAATCAGTTTGAAATTCCTCAGATTAATTTTTTCATTATTTATTTGACAGAGAGAGACCCAGCGAGAAAGGGAGCACAAGCAGGGGTAGTGGGAGAGGGGGAAGCAGGCTTCCTGCTGAGCGGGGAGCCTGATGTGGGGCTTGATCCCAGGACTCCGGGATCATGGCCTGAACCGAAGGCAGAGGCTTAACGACGGAGCCCCCCAGGTGCTCCTTCAGATTAGTTTTTAATCCCATGTTGCAATTTTAGTGGTGGGAGGAAGGTCCCCCGAGGAGGACTCTGTCCTGTGCCCCGCGTTAAGCGTTCCCACACCTAGATGTGAAGCGCGCGGGCCTCCCAGTTTCTCGAGGCCCCTGAAGACATGGCCTTTTGGGCCGGGTGGTCACTTCACAGGAATAGAGGAATGTCAGGGCCGGTTACTGGACGCCTCCCTGCGCTTTGCCCCGGGGCCTCGGGCTGCTCTGTGGCTGGCGCGCCGTCCCCGAGGGTGTGTGGGGAGCTCGACGTCAGGCAGCGCAGGTCCGGCGTGGAGTGCAGTGAAGTAAGACCGTGTTGCTCGCTCTCACAACTACTGGGTAAAGCCGTCGGCGGCCGCACTGGAAACGGCGCCGTGGGGCAGCTAAGAGAAGCACTTCCGTGTTCGGGAGATAAGAGAACAGCAGAGAAGGTGCCAGAAAGAAGGCGCTCGGGGCAGCCGGCGGGGCCCCTGCGTGGGGAACTGGCCGACGTGGGTCCCTTTCCCACTCTGCCTCCGTGGACGGATGCGGCCTCCGGCTGGACGCTGCCTCGTGTCCTGTGCCCGCGGCTGCCCCAGCGGCTTGTGGGCCCGGCCCGTGCGCGGTAGGCCGGACCCCGTGTCCCACGGTCTTCCTCCCGCCAGGCGGCTGGACTCCAACGCGCTGCGCTGCGACTGTGCGATCCTGTGGCTGGCGGAGCTGCTGAGAACCTATGCCCAGTCGGGGCACGCGCAGGCGGCCGCCACCTGTGAGCACCCGCGGCGCGTGCAGGGCCGCTCGGTGGCCACCGTCACCCCCGAGGAGCTGGACTGTGGTGAGTGAGCCCGACGGAAGGAGGCGCCCCAGCCCAGTGCTGGCATCCGGCCCCGCCTGTCTTCCGTGTCGGAAGATGTCCCCAGATGGCGTCTCGGTGGGACCCGACCAGGATGCTCCTGGGCAAAGCCGCGGTCTGTGTGACCATTGGAGTGACTGTCGGGTCCTGGGCTCTCGTCTTCCGGCTCCTGGAGCGTGCTGTCTCTCCCGCCCCCCACGCCCCCGCACCCACAGGCCTCCAGCTGCATCTGAGCAGGGGTACTGGGCTGTGGGCACCTCGGGGACAGGCCTGACTGCTCTGCTTCACCTGGAGTCCAGACCTGCCCCATCCGGCAGAGTCCCCTGGGCCAGCCCTGGCGTCCTCATCGGGCGTCCGCGCCCTCGTCTGGAGCACAAGCCGTCCTGGCTCCCACTCAGCGGCCGGCGCTGACCCCTCCTATCAGGGCGTCAGGGCCAGGCTTGGCCGCGGTGGCTGCTCCGTCTGCCCCCAGCCCTGTGGTCTCAGAGACGGAGGACGCGGAGCAGCCGCCACTTAGCAGACTGGAGGAGGGGGCATCCCCTCCAGCCTGGGCCGTGGGGGGGCACACCTGGGGGACAAGGGACAAAGGCTCCACTGCCGTGCCCTGCATGGGAGAGTTTCCCGCTCTCGGGCTGCTGTAGCTCAAAAGCGTCATTTTCTGTCTTACTCAAACCTTCCACGGAGTGCGCCGTGCACAGTCCCTCGCTCTCCGGGAGGGTGAACAGCTGCTGGCGCCTTGCTGGGCGCCTGTCGTCACCCAGGCCCTTCGCGGCGCATCTGAGGGTCGGGACGTGCTGGCTAAGGCCTCAGCCCATCTCTGCAGAGAACCTGTCTGTCCTCCTTGTGGGAGCATTTGTGGCCGGGATAGATGGTCCGCTTGGGACTGTCTCTGGAGCATGAGGGATTTGGTTTGGGTTCTTGTTTAAGTCTACGGGATGGTTTAAGACCCAGAGATCTCCGTTTCCTTCTTGGCACAGAGAGGCCCCGGATCACATCAGAGCCCCAGGACGCAGACGTCACCTCGGGGAACACCGTGTTCTTCACATGCAGAGCAGAAGGCAACCCCAAGCCCGAGATCATCTGGCTTCGAAACAAGTAAGTCAGGCGCTGGCCGGGCTGCCACGGGGGCACACTGTACCCCCAGACATCCCGTGGGCTCCGCCATGCGTGGCCCCACCCCGACACCTGTGGACGGCCCTTGGCTCTTTCGTCCTCTGCCATGGAGGAGAAGGTCTAAAGGAGCGATTTTCCTGCATCATTTCTGCTGGCGGTGGGGGCATGTGGCTCCTCCTCCTGCCGGGGGTGAGGAGTGGGAGATGACCTTGGTTCTTAACCCGCTCACGTTCTGTGGCCGGAAACGGTGCGTCTAGTCCCTGGGGCTCTGCCGCTGGAACCCTGGGACCTGTCCTCCTGGCTCAGGAGGGCCCTTCCTGTTGGGGCAGCGCCTTCAGGGACGCCCGTCGAGCGAACACTTACGTACTTAGCTCCTTGGGCATCTGATTGGCCTCAGGAAATAGGGGTCTCCTGCCACGCACAGGCATTTTGGGGGTGTGGGGGCAGAGCTGTAGGAGGGGGCATTCCGGGGGTCAGCCCACCGAGGGCCCCTTGTTAATGAGGACACTTTCAGGCATACGGTGAGAACCGACTTAACACGAAAGCACCTTGTCGAGGCTCCTTTTCCCGTCCTCATGGGGACACGGACAGGCCCTCGCTGGTCGGTAGATCTCGGCTCTGTGCGTCCAGTCATGACCGGGCGAGGACGACAGAGACGGGAGCCCAGACACGCCCGGTCCATCGCCCTGTCCGGTGCCCGGCGGCCGAGTCCCACAGGCCTTCACAGAGGAGAGGTTCAGGGAGCCTGGCATCGAGCCGTCAGTGCAGGAGGGGAGACGCCTTCCTGCCTGTGTTTGTGGCCGTGACCTGGGCCCAGCGCTGCATGCGGGTGTGACCGATGCTGTCCCAGCCTTCAGGTCACCTGTTACTTTGGATGACTCTGGACTCGCTGGGAGTTAAAATCCAAGTTAAATACGAGGAATAAGTGTGTATTTAAAAGGCAGAAAAACATTGATTTGGCTGAGCCCTTTACATCTGTTTTCATAAATAAACACGTTGGTACCAGAAGTTAAAATGTTACAGCCAAACGTGGCAGAGGGAAAGCCCAGAAGCGCCAGGCCCGAAGCCTGGTGCCGGGCTTTCCCTCCACCTGCTAGCCTCTGTGGGTGTCTCACCTGCTGTCAGCCTCACCCGCGGGCCTGCCTCACCCGCGGGCCTGCCCCGTTATCTTGAATGAATTTGCCAGAAACCAAGGAAAACGTTTCCTTGACTTTTTCCCGCTATGTTCCTTTTGCACCTTTGGAAAGAGGATTGCTCTATAACTTTAAAATCTTACAGGCTGAACACGTGAACGACAAAGTCGATGAATTAGAGATGTGGTGGGTCAGTCCCTTTCCTAGAAGCGGTGAATAAGCAGGAGCCTGTGATGTAGGACAGTATCCTGGTGTCCCCCAGCCCCAGGGGCCCTTCCTGTGTCGCAGATCAGCTGTCCCGTGCTTCAGGCACAAGTACCCGAGTGCCAGACGTCTGTCTTTGCAGTAACGAGCTGAGCATGAAGACAGATTCCCGCCTCAACTTGCTGGATGACGGGACCCTGATGATCCAGAACACGCAGGAGACGGACCAGGGGATTTACCAGTGCATGGCCAAGAACGTGGCCGGGCAGGTGAAGACACAGGAGGTCACCCTCAGGTACTTTGGGTCTCCAGGTACGTGCAGAGGACGACGCACAGGCTGCTCTGGAACAGCTCTCCCTCGCCGCGCCCGGCCGGGTAGGGATGCGGGTGGGATGTGGGTGGGACACGGGCGTGCTCAGTCCATAGCCGGGTGCCCTCAGCTGCAGCCTTGCGAGCTTGGTCCTAGGTGACTCTCAGGCTTTGCTCTGCTTTTTGAAAAAACCCACAGCGTGGCATTTCCTTAAAGGGGCCCGCTCGCGTGTGTTGCGTGAGCGGTGTGCGTCGGGCGCACGTGCTGCTGCTTCTTGGGACTCTTCATGCAGGCTTTTCTGAGTGCCGAGCCTTCCTCTGGGATAGCTGTCATCCCTTTTCCATTTCCCGCTGGCAGTTTGGAAGTCCCGTGGTGCCCTCCGTATCGCTGGTTGGCCCACAGCGTCTCACCCGCGTTCGTAGGTGACCCGAGTCCCAGTTCTCTGCCTCCGCTGTCTCCAGAGCAGTCTGTTTGTCCAGTGCGCAGAACACTCACCTTGCGCCTGGCCCTAACGTCCTTCCCACTTCTGAATCCCGTCTTGTCTTTCTGCGTCTCTGCTGTCCCGATGGGGCCATGTCCTTTCCGCCCAGGGGAGCAGGAGTCAGGCCACATCCCCACGCAAGGTCTGGCTCTCAGGTGACAAAGCCTGGAGTGAGATCACGTCTCCCACTGATTTTGGCTGCCTGTCCCTGAGGGGCTGCTTGGGGTCCGTGGGTGACGGCACGTGGGCTGGCCTCGTGTCACACACTTTGCACGTGTCGGCTGGAACACATGCCCTCCTGGTGGGCTCTGACGCTGGAGTTCTGGTCCCTGCAAACGGCATCATGCTGCCTCGCCTGCGTGCTCCAGAAACGCTAACGTGACGATCGTGTCTGCGCTTCCTGTCCTCCGCCGTTCCTCAGTCACGGGGTCACGGGTGCCAGAGCCTCAACGTTAACCGGCACGAAAGCCGCAGGAACGTGTCTTCCCTGCTGCTTTCCTCTCCACGGAACTCCTACCTCCCTCCTCGCGCCCCCAGGTGCCGCTGGCGCCTCCTTCTTTGTCCCTGCCTTACCGAGTTCGTGGCGCCGCTTTTCTCACGCTTTCCCCTCCGCCCTGCGAGGGCTCCGTTACCTGTGGAAGCGCGGTCTGTGTACCTGGTTCTGCGGCAGGAGTCCCGGGGGCTTTCCCCGAGTCCTTGCTGTTACAGGTCCGCGTCCCTTACCCAGAGCTCCTCGGGCCGTCTCTGGAAATCAGGGATCCGGGGAGGTTCCGCAGGGGCGCGTGGCGCAGGGTGGGCCGGGCGGCGGAGCGCCGCCGTGGGGTCCGGGCGTCACCCTGTAGTCAGCGTGGCCCCACCGCGAGCTGCCTCAGTGGTTGTGGAGCTGCCAGCGCCACAGGCCAGGTCAGGCTTTGCAGAGCAGTGATGAGAAAAGTGCTCTGTTTGGGGAGCATTTCTGGATTCCAGAATCGGGGAGAAGGGTGTCAGCCAGGAACGTTCTAGAAACTTCCCTTTTTGCTGCTTTCCATGTTGGTGAGCTCCCAGCAGAGTAACTTCTGGGTGCAACGGTGCAGGGGTCTTGCTGGTTTTGACACGCGTGGTCGCTCTGGCCTGGGGAGCGGGGGGTCTACAGCCGTGGACACCAGCGAGTGAGTTCTGCTGTGCACGGACGCCCCCAGCAAACGCGTTGTGAGGGCGTGGATTTTCCCGGACTCGGAGCTGAGAAGTCCTGTTAAGTGTAGGCTGAGGGTGCGGTTCTGTTTTTGCGAGGGAAGGGGCTGTTGTGAGTTCCGAGTCTGGACGGAGCGTGTTGCCGCGAGGAGGAGCAGCTAGCCCGTGTGACCACTGACCCCGTGTCCAGCGCCCACGGAACTGGGGCCCCTGGGGCTCAGGCCGCGCCGAGGGCGACGGGGACCGGCTGGGAGGCGCTGGCCCCGCCGCTCGCTTGCCCCCAACCCCTGCCGCGGGAGAGCCGACGGCGTGTCTGTTCAGCCGTGTTTGCTTTGCTCACGTTGAGGCCCGCGGGCAGAAGGAGGAGAATGAGCCCACGCCGTTGCCGACCCAGAGGAAATTAATGCGCGACTTGTGTTTCGTTGTGACAGCTCGACCCGCTTTTGTAATCCAGCCACAGAACACGGAGGTGCTGGTCGGGGAGAGTGTCACCCTGGAGTGCAGCGCCACGGGCCACCCTCCGCCACAGATCACCTGGACCAAAGGGGACCGCACGCCCCTGCCCGAGGACCCTCGCGTGAGCATCACCCCGTCCGGCGGCCTCTACATTCAGAATGTCCTGCAGACGGACAGCGGGGAGTACACCTGCTTCGCGTCCAACAGCGCAGAGAGCATCCAGGCCACCGCGCTGATCATCGTCCAGGGTGGGTCAGGGCGCCCCTCTGTGCCACGCGCTGACCACCGGCCCCTGCCCTCGCCGCAGAGACCCTGCCCGCAAAGCCCTCCCTGCAGACCCCATCCTGCCCCGCCCAGGGAGTCCTGCCTGCGGAGGCCCCGCCCCGACCGCCATCCCCATCCTCTACCCGCACCTGGCTGTACCTTACCCGCAAGCCTCACCGCCCTGCTTCTCTGTGACCTGGTTTCCTGCGTGGCAGCTGCAGGAGGCTTGTTTCGGGGCTGTGTTGTCCGTGGCACCGAGGGCTCCTGGCGTGCGGACACTGGTGGCGGTCGCGGGAATGTGTGTGCTGGGTGGGGGCACCTGTGTGTGCCTCACGTCAGTGAACCTGGCCTTCCTCCTGCGGCTTCCCCTGTACCAGCGTTGGGGTGCAGGGCGCCGAGAGTGCCATAGCGTGACGACCCGGGCTGTGTGTGTCCACATGTCCCAGCCAGCTCGATAGTGAGTTTCTTAGTTTAGAAACAAATTGCAAAGTGGGGCCTCTCTGGTGTGGAGGCTCCGAGACAAGCAAGTGCGGACTGCCGATGACCGGGGCTCCCCCTGCTCTCTGGCCGCGAGGCCGTCTCACGGCGTCTGTGCTGCTGGCTCGCGCTCTGCACACGGGACCGTGCGGTCCTGTCACCTGGGCATTCCTTCTGTACAGACGGCATCGGTCTGGATTTGGGGCCCCACAGTCACGGAGCAGCTCCTGTCCCCACACAGCTGGGTTACGCGACATGGGACCGCTTCCAGGTCTGACTGAGGTCCCACAGCCAGAGGGACCTTGGGATGCGCTAGCAGCCGCGGGCAGAAGCAGGGCATCCCGCACGCCCTTGGTGCCGTGTGGCCCGTGGCTGCATGGACTTAGCAGAGGCCCCCGCAGGGTGCTGGGGAAACTGCTGCTGGACATCCTGCTGTCAGGCCCTTCCCCGGCCGGCGTCCCCCTGCCGCAGACCCTGCCCTACGGCGCCACCCGTGGCCATCGGCTTTTTATGCCGCGGCACTTACAGGGAGTGCTGACGCTGATGCTGGCCTGCAGCATTTTCTTCCAGAACGGTCTTTGAAATGTCGTTTCCGATGTTCTTTCCTTCCGGAAGCCCTTCCCCAGTTCACCGTGACCCCTGCAGACAGGGCCGTAATCGAGGGTCAGACCGTTGACTTCCAGTGTGAGGCCAAGGGCTACCCACAGCCGGTCATCGCGTGGACGAAAGGAGGTGAGAGCTGGCCTGATGCTGGCCGGGATGGGCTCCACACTCGGGAGGCGAGTCTGCCCAGGCCCAGCACCTGGGAGCCAGGGTGGGGCTGGCTGCAGGCCTGGCCCATGGCTGCGGCGCAGGACACGTGGAGAAACTGTCCTTCCCGAGGGTGCGGGTGGCCTTCCGCCTGCTGGTTCCCTCTCCTCCCAGGTGGTCCGTGTCTTGGCTTTAGTACACTTAGTTAGCGTCCTGATGAGATTTCCTGGCAGGTAGGATAGAACTTTCTGGAACTGTCGCAGCATCTGGTTGAAGCTCAGTGTTTCTGAGCTTCTTGGGCTCTGTCTTGCCCTCTCCGTCCGAGGTGAGCGGCTGATCACGTTGATCCTTTGGGGGTGACCCCCCCGCCCCCGTCCTGCTCAGCTCGTGAAGCCCAGGCCAGACGACTCGATGGAGACAGACGTCCCCCAGGGTGCTGGTGGCCTGGCTGGGAAGTGCGAGGGGAGAGAAGGGGAGGTGGCCTCGGGGCTCTGTCCTGGAATTGACCTTGAGGTCTTGACGAGGGGCCCTGCCTTAAGCCAGGGGGCAGTACCTGCCTTCGTCCCCACAAGCGAAGGTCAGGCCGGTGTGAGCAGCCGGCACTGGGACCCCCGCGCGCCCGGGCAGGAGAGGGCCCTGCGCTGGCTCCTTGCTGGGGTGGCCTGTGCTTTTGAGTAACTCCACCCCTCCCCCTCCCCAGCAGCTCCTCCCCCATGCCTCCCACCCGTGTCCTCACCCCTTCATTTCTCATGTGCTCCTCCCGCTTCTGGGGAGTTTCTCAGAGCCGGGGGCTCCGTCTGTCCCTGACCCGGCCACACCCGGTTGTGTGGAATGTCGCCTGCCAACGCGACCGCAGCAGAGACCAGTCTGTCCCACCGGTCCCTTTGCCGTGAGGAGAGACCAGTCTGTCCCACCATTCCGTGTGCTCCAGGGAGGCTCTGCTCGACCCAGCCTTCCCGAGTCCCACTCTGACCCCGGCACATGGTGACCGGGCCGCGCGCGCGTGCCTTTCAGGGAGCCGGCTGTCGGTGGACGGGCGGCACCTCGTGCTCTCGTCGGGGACGCTCCGGGTCTCGGCTGTCGCACTGCATGACCAGGGCCAGTATGAGTGCCAGGCCGTCAACATCATCGGCTCTCAGAGGGCCGTGGCCCACCTCACCGTGCAGCCTAGAGGTACGCGGCAGCACTGGACTCCCACAGCCCTGGCAGACGGGCTGCTCCGTGCAGAGCCGCTGTCTGGAGAGGCGGGCCCGCGGCAGCCTGCGCTCCCCATTCAGAGCTGGTGCGGGCTCGCGTCTGCTCCCCCAGCACAGCTCCTCGGGGGGAGGGCGGCTGCCGGCACACCCTCTCCCCTTCACTCTGGCGCCTGAGCTTGTGCAGATGAGCTGGGAGGCTGAGGGGGGGCCTGACGCCCGCCGAGAGTGCCCTGGCCTGCCCTGGCCTGCCCTGGCTGAGGACAAGGGGCCGCTGCTCCTGGGAAGCTCTCTGGGTGACCGGCGAGTGTCCCGGCTTCCGTACCTTTGTCAGCTGCTGTCCCTTGCCTTGCAGTCACGCCGGTCTTTGCCAGCATTCCGAGTGACGTGACGGTGGAAGTGGGCGCCAGCGTGCTGCTGCCCTGCAGCTCCCAGGGTGAGCCCGAGCCCGCCATCACCTGGAACAAGGTACCACCGGCGGTGGGCTGGGTCTGGGTGTGGCGGCTGCCCCCAGCTCGCAGCTTCCCACACCGTCCTCGGCACAGGAACCCTCCCCACCCTGGCCTGAGTTAGCAGCTGCTGTGGGACCCTCACGAACCAAACCAGAGGAAAGCGGTCCCACATTGTCCTTTCCGCGTTCTTCCCAGTGACGCAGCAGAGGAAACCCTGCCACTAGGTCTATGGCCCCATCGTCAGCAGAGAAGGTTTTTGTGCTGTCCTCCACTTTTCAGGGTTGTGTCTGCGAAGCACAGCACGGAATTGGATCCCAGTGTTTAGCCGTTATGAACGAGGGTTTCAACAGGACATATCCCTGGAGGATAGCGTGGCCACAGGCAGGGGACCCTCACAGGGAGGTTTGAGTTCTGGGGGACAGCCTGGCCCTTTCCCACATGCCCCTGTTGCCCGCCAGTTGTCACTTGCCCTCTCCCGGGACCACACGTGGCCGCCTCCCTGTCCCCTTGGGCTTGCTCATACCCTTCCCGGCCAGGCCTGTCGCCTGCCTTTTTGGGTGTGGCTCGGGCATCCTGTCTCCCAGAAGACCTTGCCCAGGACCCTTCTCTGTCACTGGGTGCCCACACGCTGGGCCTTCCCCATGGTCGTGTGCGTCCCACGGTGGGTTTCTTTCTGGGCCCCCAAGTCCTGATCCTGTAGAATCCAAGGGACTCCATCCCTGTCTTAGTGTTTTCTGAATCTTTCACAAGAGTTTAAGAAAAGTTCCTCTCAGCAAATTGGACTAAATCTCTTTTTCTCTGCAGGTTTGGATAGAGTTGAGCATACCCTGTGCGCCTTGTCCCCCAGTGAGGGCCCGAAAGTGGACCTCCACCCCCAAGTAAAACCACTTCTGCTTCTCGGCCTCATTCTTCGTATCGTTTCTCTTCTGCTCCAGGACGGGGTTCAGGTGACGGAAAGCGGGAAATTTCATATCAGCCCCGAGGGGTTCCTGACCATCCACGACGTCGGGACCGCGGACGCAGGCCGCTATGAGTGCGTGGCCCGGAACACCATCGGGCAGGCGTCCGTCAGCATGGTGCTCAGCGTGAGCGGTGAGTCCCGCGGCCGGCGCCACCGTCCCCGGCAAAAGGCGGGAGGGGCGCTCGGCCCGGCGCTTGCAGGCTTGCCGCCTGATGACCGGAGGGCCGCGCGGCCTGCCTGGTTGGGGCGGCCACGTCACACTCTGGCTGCCGTCCCTTCTTGCAGCTGCGGCCGCTGTGGTCACGCGCCTGTGAGCCGGCTCTCCCCGGGCGGGACGTTGTGGCTGGCGTGGCAGCCGTCCAGACCCACTGGGCTCCGACGTGTATAATTTACGTCCCTGTCTGGCGGGGGCGCACGTGCTGCTGCCCTTTGAGCGGCTGGTGCCCCATCGCCCTGCTTCCTGTCGTTGTGGGTGCGGCCGTGCGTCTTCCTGGAATGGGGACAGCTCCCTGCCCCGGCCGCTGACAGCCACGCTGGGCCGGCCTCTGTGTCTGCCGCCTGCCCGCCTCCTTCCCCTGGCCCATCCCTTCACTTGAGTCTGTGTCTCTGCCTTTCCCAGCACAACTCACCCACCTGCTGCCTCCATGGGCCTGTGAGTGCCCCGGGTGGCAACGGGGTCCCTCGGTGTGTGTGCCCAGCACCCCTGTGCCCGAAGCCTGTAGGTGCTTACCAGATGTGAGTGGTAAAGAGGAACTGGGAGCCTGCTTTGGTTTTTTTTGCGGGGGGGATGTTCTTTTCCCATTACGTATGGTGTATGAAATGGATGTAAAATTCAGTTGGTGAGTTCTATGATTTTTTTTTTTGTTCTTTTAATGGCAAATTTTGATCTCTAAAAATAATGTTACTTTGATGTAAATTAGTTATATATGAGAGTAAAAGTAATCTCTTACCCACGATCCCACTTCCAAGAAATAACCATTATTAACGTTTCGGTCAATTTCCTTTATTTTTTTCTAAAGGTAGGTAAATATTTTCCAGTTATTTTTGTGATCGTTGTTTGGAGAACGACAAAGGCAGTTCATCTGTAATAATGTAACGTTAGAGTCATAAAATGGTATAAAATTACGAGTCATTTGTCTACCACTTGGCATAAAAACATTAGGTTCCAAAAATGAGAACATTTGTCTCTGTTTGAGATGCACTGAGGTGGGGGTTGTGCTTGGGGAAAGGCTGTCGGGCCGCGCTTTAGACGTGTGGAGCGACCCGCGGACAGTGGTGACCGGGCTGGTTTGTGGAGTGCGCAGGGGCAGCTGCACCGGGTCCGCGGGGCTGCCACCCCTCTGTGGGCAGGGCTGGGCTTCGGGCGCCGTCAGGGGCCGAGGGGTGAGTCTGGCGGTGCCTTCCGGCTCAGGTTATTTTCAACTGTGTCCTTCTGTGGAGAGGCGGACCAGGTTGAGGGAAGAAAGGACCCTTTACGAGCCGTGTGTCCTTGGTGACGGGGCCAGGGTAGAAGGCTGATTGGGTTAGTGTTACTTTAGTTTGGCAAACTCCGGTATTGGTGAGAAGAAATGAGAAGAAGGAAGTAGAAGGTCAGGAACAGGCACCCGGGGGGCTCCGTGGGTTAAGCCTCTGCCTTCAGCTCAGGTCATGGTCCTGGATCCAGGTCCCGGGCCAGGATCGAGCCCAGCATCGGGCTCTCTGCTCCATGGGGCGTCTGCCTCAGCCCCTCGCCCTGCTTGTGCTGTCTCGCCCGGATGAGAAATACAACCTGTGAAAACAAAAAGGAGAAAAAAAGAACGTCTGGAACAGCTCCAGAGGGTTGCGGGCTAAGGCGTGTGTGTGCGTGTGTGCGCGTGTGTGCGCGTGTGTGTGCGTGTGCGCGCGTGTGTGTGCGTGTGCGCGTAACGGTTCACCCATCGCTGTGACGGGGGCCGTCCAGAGGAGACGGGAAAACGCAGGGAGCAGAGTGTTTGGGGGGCAGCTGGCGGCGCAGGCGCCCGTCGGGGGTCCAGCCGTTGGTGGGAAGAACTGAATCCGCCAGGAGCGGAGAGGCCGCCTGCCCTCCCCGGGTGACCGTGCTTCGCTCGAACTTCCGTGTTTCACGCTGGGAGCGCTTTTCCCGGGTTCTTCTGGGGTATCACGTGATTTCAGAGCTGAGGTCTGTAATTTGCGCCCTGCTTGAAACAGCTTCTCGTGTCGTTTAAGCTCCCGCGTGAGAGACGGAACCCTTGGGGGAGAGCGTGCCGACACGATGCTGTGCGTGACGTAGGGTGGCACTTAGTGGGTAACGAGCGACTTTGTGTTTTCCCAGTTCCTGATGTCAGTCGAAATGGGGACCCATTTGTGGCCACATCGATTGTGGAAGCGATTGCGACCGTGGACAGAGCCATCAACTCGACGCGCACACACCTGTTTGACAGGTACCGTGGGGACGGAGGCGGGCGTAGACCTATGCTCCTTCAGCCTCTGGGGCAGAACGGGGCTGTGGCCTGTTTCACCCGAGGGAAAGCCTTTTAATTTAAAAATCCTAACGTGGGCATTAAGTCTTGGGTTCGGACAACAAAAAGACGCGTCCTTTCTGAGTAGAAGCGGAGCTGGGATTCGTAGGGAGACGCTTTAGAAAACCTCGGCTCGTTCCATGGGCTTGTTAAACGCACAACCCGGCGGGAACAGAGTCTCAGGCCACGGTGACTTGTCTGCGCCGGTGACCTGGAGCGTAGTGAGACTGGACGGTCGTCTTCCCTCTTTGACTTAATGATTTGTTTTTAGTGTCTCTCTTTCTGTTTGTGTTTGCCGCCTTCCGCTTGGGATGAGTCAGGTATGCGACGTTACGTCTCTCCGAAAGTAGCTACACACGTTTGGTGGCAATAATTACATTTTGGACACGAGTAGTTTTGTCCTCAAAGTTGGTTCTGTTCTTCCCTGTCTGCTCCCGCACCCCTGCCAGCCGTCCCCGTTCTCCCAACGACCTGCTGGCCTTGTTCCGGTACCCGAGGGACCCCTACACCGTGGGGCAGGCGCGCGCTGGAGAGATATTCGAGCGGACGCTGCAGCTGATTCAGGAGCACGTGCGGCACGGCCTGATGGTCGACCTGAATGGAACAAGTCAGTCCTGGGACCCTCCCCCGAGGGCAGGGCCTCACCGCGCTGGGGCCTCTCTGGGCGCCGTCCCGCCTCCCCATGTCTGAGTGAGCGCACGGTTGCCCAGGTTTGGGCCGCGCCGGGCCCCGTAGCAGTGCCCTGCGAAGCTGCATCCAGCGGACCACGTGCCCTGCCCTGACCGGGGCCAGACCGGTGAGGCCCCTGCGACCTGGCACGGTGGCCGCTAGTCTGCGAGGCTGTGCGCCCGGGACGCAGGGCGGCGGGCTGTTGGGAAGGAGGCTTGTGGGGCCCGGGTGACTGAGAGGTGTCGGGGGAGGCCGCCCCAGGGTTGTGTGGACGGCGGGAGCCCGACACCCCGCCCGCCACCTGTGCCGCGCCGAGCCCTGGGAACAGCACCCGCACGGGCGCCAGAGGCCGGTGTCTGCTGTGTGGACGCGGTCCCTCGAGGGCGAGTGTTCATCTGAAGCTCTCCGGGAGTGCACGTGCGCCGTGCCCCCCGGGGTCACGCTCCGCAGTCTCCATGGGCTTTTCCGACTCGTCTTCGGGAGCCCGTCTTGCCCGTCAGGATGGAAATGTCTTTCAAGAACCGAGCGGTCTTAGATGCGAGTGTGCGGCGTGAGGATGTGGAAACGGGCCCGTCTCTGCTTCTTGGAGGGAGGGGAGGTGCCCGAGCCTGTCCCCGTCCTGCCCTGCTTGGGGCTGGGCTTCCTGGTGTTTGTGTGTAGACACGTAGACCATGGTACCTCCTCTTCTTGCTGGGGGCTCTGGCCTCCCTCAGGGCCGTCGTAGAAAATTCCACTTCACAGACGGGCCGGCCTGGCCTCGCAGGCGCTCCCTGGGGAGAAACGCGAGAGCCGCCCGCCCCTTCTTTCCACTTTCCTGTGTTGGGCTCTTTCCACCCTTCTGGCCGGGGATGGGGACAGGGGCACGTGGGACATGTGGCCTTGTCCCCGTGGCGCCTCCCTGTGCTCCCAACCATCGGTCGTAAGGGACCACGCTCGGCCGCGTGTGGAGGGCCCGTGGGGTTCTGTGGTGCTCCTTTCCCTGCCGTGGCCTCCCTTCCGTGGCTCACGTGGTGAGTGCGGCTGGAGCGGCTTCAGCAGGCGCCCGTAGACCTTGTGCAGCCGCTGACCGAGGCGGAGCCCGTCTGTAGGCCCTCGTGCAGGACGGTTGCTCACCCACGCCGCCGCGTATGGAGAACCGTGGGGCCCTAGACAGACCGGAGAAACTGAACCGACTCGGAGCCCAGCAGAGGGGCGCCCGACTCTGGGCCGCAGTGCGGTGTTCGCAGGAGAGCAGGCCCCAGCGGGCTGCAGCACGTGTAGACCCTGGCCAGTCTCGGATGCTGGGTCAGCAGGCTCTGAAGGCGAGAGGATGGTCTTGTCGTGGTCTGTGTGACGTGGGAGCCACGGAGCTCCTTGTAAAGAAGTGACCTGGTCACCTGGATCAGGTCGTCAGTGGCCCTGCCACAAAGGGGGAGGCGGTACAGGAAACCAGGCAAGTGTGTGTGGGAGGGACCGGCGGGGCGTGGAGGTGGCCAGTGTCCCTGGAGTGGCCCGGGGGATACTGGGGCGGCAGGTGCCCGCGGAGTGGCCCAGGGGGTCCAGGCTCGCAGGTGCCCGTGGAGTGGCCCAGCGGGGCGGAAAGTGTTGGCACTGGGGTGGCTGGTGCGTGGAGTGAATTCCAGGTGCCTTGGAGGCAGGTGACACATTCGCGTGTGGCCTAGATGTGGGGTCGGCTGATTGCGTTTCTGCCTGAGGGGCCGGAAGGCCAGAGGTGACACTTAGTGACATGGGGAGGCTGGTGGAGGACCGGGTTAGGGCTGGGGAGCGACTGTCTTACCTCTAGGAGCTGCAGGCGTGCACAGGAGGCCTTGGTCTCCAGGGACACCTGGGTCTTGGTTCCACAAACCCCGGCGTCCTACTCACCTGGAAGAAAACGGCCTCCTGCTCACGGTCCTCCTGGTGTTTCTCTGTCACGAAATAGGCTTCTTGTCGGTTCCCCTATTCTCAGGGGCGCACTTGCTCTCACATTTCCGCATTTTCACTGGTCAGATTCGCCTGCATCCAGGGACGGTTTTCATTTCTAAAGCAGAGTATGGTGGACGAGTGTGGTCGGAAGCGGTCGGGGGGTCGGCAGGACTCCTGCTTAATGGCCCGTGATGTGGAACCGCCCGCCGGGTTTGCAGGAAGGCGTGGCGTGGCCGCTTCTCATCAGGGACACTTCAGGGGGCTTGGCTCTCGGAGCCCTGCAGGCATGTCCAAGTTCACAGGGAGGCCGGTTATGTCCAGCCTGGGCTGGTGCCCCGCGCCCGCAGCCACGTGCAGAGAGGGGCAGTGCAGGAAGAAAGCTCCCCACGGGGCTTGTGCTTGAGCCCCAGGCCCCTGGGGGTTCTGGGACTCCCTGAGCTCACTGGGCGTGGAGCCAGGCGTCCCGTTTACCTTCCCGTGTCCGGGAGGTGCCTGCTGACGGGGGCGGGTCTTCTCATGCAGCCCGCCAGCACCCATTTCTGATGGCGTCACCGCCCCACCTCCAGCTCGGTGGGGGCCGTTCAGACGCTGCCCTCACAAACCGGGACAGGCTCTGTTCCCTTAAATGTAGGCAGAGGCTGTCTCGATCGGCTGTGAGCGGGTACTTTGGGTGTGTGCCCCTGCGTGTCAGCCTGTGGTGTGAGGGTACGTGTGTGCCCCTGCGTGTGAGCATGTGGGTGCCTCTGTGCACACGTGTGCCCCCGCGTGAGTCCAGGGCTCCGGGCAGCCCGCAGAGCCAGCCCTGACGCAGGTCCGGTCCTTCCAGCTGTTCCTGCTGGGACCCCTGGCTCTTGCTGAAGGACCCGGGTTGTCCCCTGCCCGTCACGCACAGGTCCCCTCCCCTGGCTCCGCAGCCCGAAAGTCAGGGTTGGGGAGGGCTGCGGGGCCCGGGTCGCATCCCTGGGTGCTGTCTGCCGTCCAGGGAGTAAGCTGCCCCCCTTCCCCGCAGGCTACCACTACAACGACCTCGTGTCTCCCCAGTATCTGAGCCTCATCGCCAACCTGTCGGGCTGCACGGCGCACCGGCGCGTGAACAACTGCTCGGACATGTGTTTCCACCAGAAGTACCGCACGCACGACGGCACGTGCAACAACCTGCAGCAGCCCATGTGGGGCGCCTCGCTGACCGCCTTCGAGCGCTTGCTGAAGGCCGTGTACGAGAACGGCTTCAACACCCCCCGTGGCATCGACCCCGGCCGCCTGTACCACGGGCACGCGCTGCCCATGCCCCGGCTGGTGTCCACGTCCCTCATCGGCACGGACACCGTCACGCCCGACCCGCAGTTCACACACATGCTCATGCAGTGGGGCCAGTTCCTGGACCACGACCTGGACTCCACGGTGGTGGCCCTGAGCCAGGCCCGCTTCTCTGACGGCCAGCACTGCAGCTCGGTCTGCAGCAGCGACCCCCCGTGCTTCCCGGTGGCCGTGCCGCCCAACGACCCGCGGGCCCGCAGCGGGGCGCGCTGCATGTTCTTCGTGCGCTCCAGCCCGGTGTGCGGCAGCGGCATGACGTCGCTGCTCATGAACTCCGTGTACCCGCGGGAGCAGATCAACCAGCTCACGTCCTACATCGACGCCTCCAACGTGTACGGGAGCTCAGAGCACGAGGCGCGCGCCGTCCGGGACCTGGCCAGCCAGCGGGGGCTGCTGCGGCAGGGGGTCGTGCAGCGCTCGGGGAAGCCGCTGCTGCCCTTTGCCGCCGGGCCGCCCACGGAGTGCATGCGGGACGAGAACGAGAGCCCCATCCCCTGCTTCCTGGCCGGGGACCACCGCGCCAACGAGCAGCTGGGCCTCACCAGCCTGCACACGCTCTGGTTCCGAGAGCACAACCGCGTGGCCACTGAGCTGCTCGCCCTGAACCCGCACTGGGACGGCGACACCATCTACCATGAGGCAAGGAAGGTCGTGGGCGCCCAGATGCAGCACATCACTTACCAGCACTGGCTGCCCAAGGTGCTGGGCGAGGTGGGCATGAAGGCGCTGGGCGAGTACCGCGGCTACGACCCGGGCGTCAACGCCGGCATCGTCAATGCCTTCGCCACGGCCGCCTTCCGGTTCGGCCACACGCTCATCAACCCCGTGCTCTACCGGCTGGACGAGAACTTTGAGCCCATCGCGCAGGGACACATCCCCCTGCACAAAGCCTTCTTCTCTCCCTTCCGCATCGTGAACGAGGGCGGCATCGACCCCCTGCTGCGGGGCCTGTTCGGCGTGGCCGGCAAGATGCGCGTGCCCTCCCAGCTGCTCAACACGGAGCTCACCGAGCGGCTCTTCTCCATGGCGCACACGGTGGCCCTGGACCTGGCCGCCATCAACATCCAGCGTGGCCGGGACCACGGCATCCCGCCCTACCACGAGTACCGCGTCTACTGCAACCTGTCGTCCGCGCACACCTTCGAGGACCTGAAAAACGAGATCAAGAACCCTGAGATCCGGGAGAAGCTGAGACGGTGGGTTGAAGGACGCCGTCGGGCGTCTCACGTGTGTAAAGGTCAGGCGTGCCACAAAAGGGGCTCCCAGCGTGCGTGGCCGTTGTTCTTTGTGTTTGAGTGTGTGTGTGCAGCCACGTGTCAGAGAGGAGGCAGGGCGGGGGGAGCCTGTGGAGGGGCCGACTCTGGTGGCCGTGCTCGTGCAGGAGGCCGTGGCCATAGCCGTGTGGGTGTCCCATGTGTCTGTCCAATAGGGCCTGACGGCGGAGGGGAAGGAGCTGCGGGGAACCCGAGGGCCCAGCTGGGGTATCTTGGGCTTTGGGGGGCTTCCGCGCTCCCATCAGGCGGAGGGCCCCGGAGCTCACCCAGCACAGGGCCGGAGCTGCTGGCCCGACCGCCGCCTCGATTCCGGAGACCACCGCGGCCGCCTCCGGCGATCGTGCGGGCGTCCACGGGGGGCTGCCGTGGTGGGACCGCAAGGGCGTGCCGGCCCCTGGAGACCACCGGGGCAGGTTCTGGGCTGCCGTCTAACAGGAACCTCTCCGTGGCCTCCGCGGCGTCCCCGGCGGGATGGCCCCTTCGACTTGCAGTTCTCTGCACGCTCAGCCCTGACCTTTCTCTGTGGTCTCCGCTGCCCTTTGGGTGGTGATTTTTGTCACGTTCGTCATCTCAGTTTCCTTAATGGAGACCCCTGCTTGTTAGAGTCTCGCATGATCCCTCGTCGTCCGGAGACTCGTGAAATCGGCCCTCGGGTCCCTGGGTGTGTCCGTGTGTCCGTGGCTGAGGGCGGGAAAGCTCCCCATGAGGGCTCCCTCGCTTGTGTTCTGGACTCTGCTGTCGGCCGCGCGTGATCTCGTGCTCTCACGCCCTCGGCGCTGGAGGGAGGGCGCTCTCTGGGTAGCCTCCCGCGTGCCTCCGGCAGAAGACGGCTCCTGTGCGTGATGTAAGTTGTGGTCACGTGTCCCGGCGCTGACGCGGACACAGCACCAGCCACTGGCGTGTGACCCGCCCTCCACGGGTGCAGGACGCTCTGGGTCTCCGTGTCGCGTGACGAGCGTTTATGGGGACAGTCTGTCGTTCGTGTGCTTGAACGGCCTCCTTTGCTCTTGTCCGGATGGACACAGACGCCCCCCGTACGTACCCCCTTCACAGACTGACTTCCCACGGCCCAGAGGCACTAGTGCTGCGGCGCAGCGTGTTTGGTGGGCGGAGGGACATGCCCGTGTGCGCTGGGGACCCCAGAGAGACGACCCTCCTTGTTCACCGAACACCCGGTCACTCATTCACTTTGCTGTCTGTCGGCCGCTGTGTGCGGGAGGGGCCTATGGTCCTAGGTCCGGAGGGGCCGGAAACTTCAGGGGCAGAAAGGCCTGCGGGACCTTCCTTAGGGTCGGGGGAGGGGAGGGAGCAGGGCCTGGTCGGAGTGGGGCACTGCCCTGCTGTCTGTGTCCCCCGTCCCTTTTTGAAGCGGGTGCCGTGCCCGTGTCAGCAGTGGGGTCGTGGGAGGGGTGCTGGCGGAGCTGGGGCTCCGGGGTCCTAGGCAGGCTTCGAGGTGGCTCTCTGGGGACCACACCGTGTGGCTCCCGTTTCCGTGCGTGGTGCGGAGACCACTCAGCCTCCCTTCCAGAAGGACCGGCGCTGCCGCAGCGGCCTCCCTCTGTCCCTGCGGGCCGTGGGGCCCCTCAGCCGGGTGGTGCACACCGGCTCGGAGTCCCCATTGAGGGCAAGCTGACACGCGTCTGGGGAGCTGCTGGGGTGTCCCCGATGGGGTGCGGGCCGCTCGGCTCCCACGGGCCTCCCTACGGAGCTGCAGGAGCTGGACGAGCGCCCTTGCCCTGGGGCACCGAGCCGTCGCCGTCTCAGGCGTGCGGTCGAGTTCTGCTTCGGAAGGAGCTTTGCGGCGCGAGGATCTTCCACAGACAGTCGAATCGCGGCGTTACGGCAATTCCTTCTGGGGTCCGCCTTAGCTCCCTGAAGCCCGTTCCTTTGTGTTCACGGAAGGAAACGGGAAGGACGTACCTTACACGGTCAGGCGTGCTTGTTTCTGGACAGAAAAGGCGTGAGTTTAGTTTCTCCTCTGTTAAGTCGGTTTTTTTAACGTTATAATAAATCGCACACGTGTTTTATACGTGTGCGTGTGTGTGTAAACAGTACAGAAAACTTCCAAAGTGTGACGTGTAGATGCTTAGGTCACAGCGAATTTCTTGGCTGACAAACGGTTTGGAAGCTGCTGAGTAATACCGAACGGCGAGGCTTTTCCTCTTTGCTCTGCCGCCGCTTTCTCGGGTGCATTCAGGGTTTCCCTTGTTTGTTCTGCAGGTTGTATGGGTCCCCCCTCAACATCGACTTGTTCCCGGCCCTCATGGTGGAAGACTTGGTCCCAGGCAGCCGGCTGGGGCCCACCCTCATGTGCCTGCTGGGCACGCAGTTCAAGCGCTTGAGAGACGGGGACAGGTAAACGCAGATGCCACGGGGACAAGGGAGGCCAGGTGCCACGGGGATGGGTGAGGGCAGGTGCCACGGGGACAGGGGAGGCCGGGTGCCACGGGGACAGGTGAGGGCAGGTGCCACGGGGACAGGGGAGGCCGGGTGCCACGGGGACGGGTGAGGGCAGGTGCCACGGGGACAGGTGAGGACAGGTGCCACGGGGACAGGTGAGGGCAGGTGCCACGGGGACAGGGGAGGGCAGGTGCCTCGGG